TGAATATAGTGTACATGTCATACAGGATGCAGAAGTACTACATGAACATATTTATTTGTTTGCAGCAACAGTTTCAGAAAATAAAACATTGCAAGTTCTCTATTTGTTTCAGTATTTGACTTATTTTTTGCAATATAAAGAGCATTTGAGGAGTGGCAGGAGAACAAACAACAGCCATAATTTGTAACTGAAGAGTTTCTGACTGAACATAAGGAAAACAAGGGTTACAGTGAAGCTAAGCACTGGAACATGCTGCCCAGAGAAGCTGCACAACCTCTATCCCTAGAGGTTTTCAAGATCCAACTAGCTGAAGCACTGAGCCCTGGTCTGAACTCAGCATTGACTCTGCTCTCAGCAGGAGGTTGGACTAGAGAACTCTCTCAAGGTCCTTTCCAACCTGAATGATTCTACAATTTGATTCAAGCACAAACTGCAGCCAAATACAAATAAGTAGATGCTTTCCTTTTTCCCCTCTCCCAATAAAATTTTGCCAGAAAATGCAATACTCATCTTTACAACAGTCAAGCATGACCAAAATCAAACAACCAGCAAATGAAGTGTACAGAAAGGTACCAACTCCATAGTAAAAGGCAAGCTAAGAGTCCTTGCATGATTTAAAATTTTCTTTGTAACAGCAAACACACATTTTTTAATGCCAAGTGTGTAAAGAGCAATAAACAACTGTGTAATAAGTGCCAAAGACCTTTCTAGTAATTTTTAAATGGGAGATTTCCTATTCACACTGAGAAAGGACACCATAGGAACATAAGCAAGGTAACATCAACATTTTAGTTTCCAAGTTTCTATTAGCCCTCAATACACTGGCAGTACCATGTCCCCATCAAGTGCCCCAGGGAAGCCAGAGAATGAGGAGCTAGGAGGTGGAGAGGAAACAGGGAACCCCAAGACATCTCTACTCTATCTTGGGGACCATTTCTATCCAGTTTGAGACCTCTTTTCTACTGCTAGGATTTAAATGCAAAACAAGTGGAACTATCAGGAAGAACTCAATGCACCTAATTTCTTTATTTCCATATGAACAGAAGATTTCAATTAGACAAAAGGTCTCCACCCATCATTAAGGCAACTGTAGAAGAAATGAACTAATGGTATGACATGATACAAACTGACAACAAAGAATAAACATAAAACCTGAAAAATACTAAAAGTCTGGTTTGTGCCAACAAGCAACTGATCCTCTATAAAAGAATTATTCTGGTGCAAATAAACAGTGATTAAATGTGTGTATATCTACAGACACCAAACTGAATCTGACATTCAGCTCTACATCCTAGTTCCAAAACCCCAAACTTTCGTTTTATAAAGAATTTTGCTTCTTAATCTCGACATACATATAAGGTTAACTGTGAGAAGTCAAAGGTCAGACAATTTGATCAACAGTGAATCTCCACAAACATGCAGTCTTCCAAATCTGAAAGTCCGCTGAAACTGTGAAGTCAGATAGTGCACCTAATACAGAAAACCATGCAGTCCACCATGCAGGCAGATCCGATTTGGTTTTAAATTAGGGTAGTCTGGATAGAGAAGTAATACAGCACAGTTCTAAACCTAAAGGACAAATAAACATTTCACTGTCAATAAGAACTTGCAATTCTGCTGCAAGTACACAAGCTACCTTGTTTGCATCTGGCTCAACTGTATCTACACTAGCCTGCAGTGTAATAGAAAATATCTTCAGGTGGGCAAGATACAGAGGGCAGCAAGTAAGAGAAGCCAGTGTAAGGCTGGGATGATAACAACGAGGAGCATTGCACCTAACACTCTGGATCCAGCCAGTGAAGCTCTTAAGTACATTCTTATTTCAAGCAATGGTAAAAGCACCACCAAAATCAAGTTGCTAATAACAAGAAAACAACTGTTAGCTGTGTGTTAGCTGAAACAAGGCAAGTCAAAGTTACATACAGTGAATACAAAGAAGGGCAGAAACTTTGAAGTGGTAGAAAAAATAAATCAAGGCCCAAATTCAAGAACTTCTGAAACACTTGAAGAAACAGAATCTACTCCAGTTCTACAGTCCTGAAATAAGACCAAATTTGTTAGACTTAAGTCTCTTAAAAACACAAAATAAGTAATAATTCGGTGGAGTTCCTTCTTTAACACATGAAACAGCTAAAGCCCAATGACAGGAATTTAGTCCTATCATTTTTGATACTTCGAAGGGAGAAAAGATGTCAAAATGACACAGAGGCTAATACAGTGAAGATAAAAGATCAAAAAGAAGACATATAGTGGAGAGGACTGGAATCTGATACTAACTTTGAGACATCTGATATGCAGGCATGAGAGAAGTGTCAGAGATACAAAAATTGTGGCCCTGGAAAATAGGCAAGCAAAATTGTCAGGGATGTTAGAAAATAGTCTAGAGGGAGTTAGGAATAAAAATCAGATCTTTGAATCTGAACAGGTCTGGGACTGGCTGGATACTCAAGGAATCATCTGGAGATAGAACTATGTGAGAATCAACCTGGGGAAGGAAGCACTGGATTTTTGGTGCATTCAAATTAAAGTGTAAAGTCAAAAACTTGAAAACAAACTGGAGGAAGGATTTTCAGGTACATGAAATTAGGGAAAGACAATCAGAAAATCAGAGAATAAAGAAGAAAAGAGAACCAGATAGGATGACAGGTGCAATCACCTTCAAGACAAAGAAAAGAGAAACTTTGTTGCTAGTGAAGCAAATGAGCAGAGGATTTAAAGAGGAAGTCATTCAGTGAAAGGAAGGGTATAAAAGATGCAGAAGGGGCAAACCTGGACAGTTAAGAGGCAGAGAAACTCAGTTCAGAAACAGATTCTGAGAAAGAAAAACAATTTTGAAAAGGGTCTTGTCACACAAAAATCAGGACTGTTTTTGAAGATACATTTTGTATCAAGAATGAATGGTGAAATGAACATCAAATCTGCAAGCAAACTCAACAGGAAAAAAAAAAAAAAAGGTGGAATAAAAGTGATTAAAAATTCTGTTTGGTAAGAGAATTATAAGGCAAAGCCGAGTCCAAAGCTGTGTTCTGTTGATATACTCTTCAGCAATATTTTAAGAGGCGAGAATGGAAATTAAGAAATTACAAGAAAAAAAATGTCTGGGGAAAGGAATGGAGACAGGGCAATATGAGAAGCAACCCAAGAAACCACATATAGAGAAGGACAGAGATGAAAATAAAGACAAGTGAGTCAAAGGAAGTGAGGCCAATGAAGGAAAGAGGCAGCTGAGAAGAGTAAAGGAGTCAGAAAGGTTAATAGACTGGAGATCCCAAAAGGAGTGAGTGACAGGGTAGAGGAGAAAGAAAGACAGATAAGCTGAAAGAGAGCAGGTAGTGATCAGAGAAAGGGAATTTAGAAATGAGAGATAATAAAGTGAACAGTATTTAGTAAAGACAAGGTCATGGGAATGATTGAGGCATTGAGAAAATCTGTCTAAAACTGAAAATCAAAGGCATCAGGATGGAAAAACAGAATGAAGAACAATGGCGCTTAGTTAACAGGGCTAAAAACAATATGGCTTGCCCATGGTGAGGGATAAAATTTGAGAAGACAGAAAAAGGTTGAGTTTAGCAAAGTCACAAAGAAAGAAGCAAACTAATGACCACTAGGACCACTAGACACAGAGGACTTCAAATTAAGACGACAGTAGAACAGACAACAGGACCTCAGAAGTGCATATGAAAGGGAAACTATTTTTAAAAGACATCAATTGAAGAACAAGGTTCAGGGAAGGGAGTAAAGTTTGAAAAAGAACCTTAAAAACCTATAATGAGTCATGTTCAGAAATATAAGTAGCACCCCACCGGGTACGCCCAGCACCTGTATTTCCCTCCTTGGGTAATCCTGCCATAAAGGTTTAGACATTCACTCAGACCAAATCAGAGATCAGAAATTCAGAAGACTAGCACTAACATTGGCTAAACGATGTGGGGATATGGCAGGGTTGGAAAAAATTGTGACAGTTAAAAGAAGTATTAAAAATGATGGAAAAGCAGTGATTTGAACTCTGCTATCCAGCACCTTTACTTCCAGATCAAATTCTCCAAAAAACAAGACCTGAAGGCCTTCACTGATGCTCCCTCACATCAACCTCCTGTTCCTAGCTCAAATACCTGACGAAGCATTCGCCACCAGCATTCAGATTCAGCCATTAAGATTCTCATCTTGCTGCTGAACAGTGAAAACTGAGATTAAGTGGACAGATTGTTAAAAAATGAACATCACTGCGATTTTGGGTCCTATTCAGAGGTATCTGAGAACCACTGGCATAAGTTGCCTTTCTCCATTTCCAAGCCTCTGTCAAGAATTTCACTCTATGGCTGTCTTAATCATGAGCATGAATAAAACACCAGCCTTCTCAGGCACTTCTAATACTGTATTTCATCTTAAGGTATATTGACATGTTTTTAAAGTTTCTGCTCATTACAAAAAGACGACATACTTCTATTGCCTGCTTGTACAATTGGTAGTTGGATCATTAGAGTGTAACAGAAGATAAGGGAAAAAACACATTATGCCTTGCTACCAAACCAGTAACACAAAAAGTATAAAAAGTGAGCTAAGCACATTTCTATATAACTTGCTGATTACTATTTATTTATGTGTGTATACAAGGTTCACTCAAAATTACTGAAATTACATAAAAAACAGCCTACCTATAAATAAGAGCTCAAAGGACTAGGGCCATAATTGGAGCGCTTCATTATTTTTATGTTTTTCAGACACTTTCATATGGTTTGAAAAAAATTTTAGATTTTTTAAAAATTTTAGATAAAGACACTTTTGGGGATTAATTATGAATATATCTGATGTAGTATTTTTAGATAAATTTTTGACAAATAATACAAAAGGTTTTTTTTCCAGTGTACCTGTCTTCTGTTACAGTCAAGAAAACTCACCTATAATCAACTACTGGAAGCAGTAAACTGTCCACAAGAGAGGTAACATTTACTGTAACATTTTTATTTTTTTTATATATATATATATATATATATATATATATATATATATATCTGTAACAAGAAAAGTTTGAAAAAATATCATAGAAACTATAATTTTTACATGATAGTCAATATTTGTATGTTTCATTTCTATTAGACTACTGCACAGCAGAGGAGCTTTCAAGACAAGACAAAGATTTTATGTCATGTCATGTCATGTCATTCAAAGCACAAAGTTCACTCATGAAGCAAGTTAATACTGTGGCATTACTGAAATAAAAGGAGGAGCTAGTCAGACATTCTGGTAACACATTCTCTTTAAAGAAAATAAACACATAATGCCACAGCCTAAATAAATATCGCCAAGCGTCACCATCATCAATGTAAGAAAACCAGAATGATGTATTACAAAAGAAAATATTTTATAAGTGTATAGCATTCATTGGAGTGTTATAACAGGCTTATTTTCATATATTACCAGGTGCTTTACCTAGGGGATAGATTCTACAATCCCCAGTGCTATAAGTAGCTCTATTAACCCATACAGGCTTCTTAATTTTGAAGTTTGGTACCAGACTCATCTGTACCATTCATTTAACATATTTTAAAAAAAGAATAACTATTTCTTTTCTCAGCATAAGATTTAATCATAAACACTAAAAAAAACAATAAAAAATTTAAATGCTTAAGTATGCACATTTGCTAACTCTTAACTCATGATTTCTTTACTCAATGTATCCTTCCAGGCAGGGGGGGGGGAAATTATTGGTTTCTTTCGAGAGAAGTTCAGTACTTGATGCATAATAGCCTGACTGTGTTGGGTTTTTTCCAGTGATTTTTAAATATTCTAGTACATTTTAGGGAAAAAAAAATGATTCAAGTACTTGTGCATATTAGGGCTAATCCTGGCAGTCAAACAAGTATTGTGCTGCCTTTTCCCATACAAACCATTTCATTCCATGACATATGAACTATTGTTATAGAACATAACTATAATTTTTAAAATTCAATAAACAAATAATGAAGACAAATCTAGAGGCTGTTAGACACAAACAAGGTTTCTCAAATACTTCCTCCCTAGAAACTGTTCCACTGAAGTCCTACAAGATTAAGTATACACAGAAGCTAGAGGAAAAACTAAGGATTCATCCTACGAAAATCTAGAAACAAAAATAAAAAATATGTATTAAGATAAGCTGGTGATCTGGCACATACTATTTAAAAACTGTATTTTGCAAAACAGTTTTCACGGTATTTGTAGTTTTAAAAAATACAAAACCAGAAAAACCCCTTGACCTAGCTTGAACATTTCATCCAGAAACCCCACAGCTGGATTTTTATTCTCTGAGCATTACATCAAATCAAAAATTAAAGCTACACAGAGAAACAAACAAAAATAATCTGAGTGTGCAGGGAACTGATTGCATCTAGAACCTCTACGAGTATGTACATATCGCTGCTTTTATTTGAGCTAACTTCTTTTTACCCACATACAGAAAAAGATTTAACTGACCATAACAGCTTCTTAGCAATACCACTAGTAATGTTTTGACAGTTCTGTATAAAAAGTTCAGTCTTGAAACTCAAGAAATTTCAGTCCATTCTCCATTTTTACATTTAAAAATGAGACACCTTCCTTCCTTAACAATAATTATTTAAGCATACCCAAAAAGGCACTAAGGTCTAACAAAATTATTCTGAATTTCCTTTTCTTCAACTAATAAAGCATTTGTAAAACATTTTGCATATATATTTATTTACCAAATGAAGGACTAGCAAGTTACTCTTAAACATAAATGCTAAAATTTACTTTTGCTAAATATAAAACTAATTCTCAGGATACAGTATACAAAATCAGGTATTCATGAAGAACACATTTTGTATTATACTGCATTATTTTATCTTTTCCAAAAGGTTTCTGTATTAAAAAAAAATAAAAATAAAAAATCAACATTACCAGAAAGTCATTCAATTCTTTTAAACACAGAAATCTACAAACAGTGACATATACATCAACAGTTGGAAAGTTGTAACTTAAAGATTGCATCTTTTAATCAGACTTTCTCATAAATGCCTGCCTCAAAGGAACCCTATTTGCTACAACAAGCATCTGCATGGTTTAAAGACTTAACTATGCAGACTCCTATTGCCCCAGGGCAGTGCTGCACAAGTCTATTGAAAATTATCAGAGTGCAGAATAAACACCTTAAATTTTCCCAGAAAACCTCCACCAAATGTTTTATGTGCATTATGACAGAAAAATAAAAAAAGGGATGTTACAAAAACTTCAGCATGATGATTTTTTTTATGAAACTATTTCCCATCACATTTGGCAAGCAGGAGAACTAATCCTATTGCCTGTCTACTCTTAACTGCAAACTACAATTCAATATAAAATACAATAACTTTCTATAATAATTATGTTCCTCTTAGAAGAAAGAGTAAAATAAAGTTAACCGTGCTGACTCATACTTTCCATAAATTACTAAAAAGGTGAAAGATTCAGACATTTTGCTTCTGGATAATAAGCCTAATATCTGTATCATGTGCAAAAGTGCAACTGTGTTTTAGAACTGAGGCCCAACTGAGTTTTTGTTATTAAAGAAAATATACTTGAGCCCACTTAACATCGAAAACAGTGGTTCTCAGTATCTTTTAAAGTTATGCTTTACATATTTAAACCTGTTTTACAACTGCAAGTTAGTAAAAAATACAAAATATAGACATAGACAGAAAATAACAGCTTGTATATAAATTGGTTTACAATTCAAAGCACAACAGTAAGCTTCAAATAATTATATTTCTGTAACACACAAGGAGGTGGGATGATTTATTTAAAATACTTGGTTATTTCTGCTCTTTTCTTCATGATCTGATGTCTGTTTAGCTGCTTGCAGTGTGTGCATGCATACGTTTCGCTACATCATAGACATAGGTTATGTCTGGTCGCTTCTCTGGATCCGGGTTGATGCACATATTAACTAATTGTCGCAGCTAGGAAAGGAAAATAAGATGACAGGATCGTTGGCTTTCTTACAAATAGTATTTGTGCATTATCAAATTCAAATTAATAAGACTGGCAAAAATTAGCCAAACAGCAATTCTGCATTAACACACACTCAACCCTCCCTCTCTTGACACACTGCACACTGTTCTATGCAAGCATACATGCATTGTACTCCCATGATTTTTACATTTTGTACTGTTGTCCAGGAAAATAATGAACAAATTTAAGTTCTAATGCTTTTAACATATAACTTTAGATATGGATTTAGTCCCATTACACATAATTTAAATTAAAAATTCTTGTGCTTTTGGAGGGCTATGCCTGCAAATCCCAGAAGGCTGACAGTAGCACAGAGAGAAGGTAAATCGGGACAGCTTACCTGTTCACTTCTGATACAAGAGTTAGCCAGCAATAAATGTCACTGCTGCATGACAGGTTTCCACAAACAAAAGGCAGAGATTCTCCTTATAACACAGTTAACCTGCAGAACCTCCTGCTGCTAGAAGGTACCAATACCCATGCATTAAGGAAGCAATTTAACAAATTAAACCCACTGAGAGCTATTTAATATAAAGACTCCACCTTTGAGTGAGGAAATTTGTGAACTTAAAACTGGAAGCTGGGAAATTATTTTTGGGAAGTATCACATTATTCTGGCCCTGTTACTCCACTTGCCCACTGTTGAAGACATGATACTGGATTAAATAACTTTTGGTCTATGTCCTTGTATCTGTTTTTAGGATTAAACTCTTGATTTTTTTTCTTTATGTTCAAATATGTTCACGGAAGCCTCTACTTGGAAATAAACAAATCACTGTATGACTAGAAATCCCCACGTTTCCACAAACACCATAATTTATTGGATCTTCTGTAGTGCACATACTCAGCAGAAGCAACCCCAAAGAGCTTCCACACCACTCAGATACTTCTCACCACCTTCACAAACTGGCAGAACAGTTGCAGGGTCTCCTTCCTCCTCTGATATGCCTAAGAACTTATGTTAGAACTTAATATACTGTCTGGATAACCTTCTGATGGGGCACCTATTTTAAATTGTGTGCATCTCTTAAGCATTTTTCAGTGCTTCATGAGGACTTGCTAAAATGTTTACCATCCTTTGCAAAAGCAATTTAACCAACTCTGAAGCTCTTCCTTTATGCTTTTATTAGCTTTGCTAAATCCTCCTGGATCTCCTTATAGCGAGGGGGCGGGGGGATATGAGGGGCACAACAGAAAAAACACCTTGTTCCACCCTTCTATGGCAATATGTCAAATTTGGTTCAGTCTCCCCCCCAGTACTATTAGTTACGATTACTAAAAAAAAATCTGCAATTACTGCAACTAATACAGAGCGATCTCATCACCATGATTATTCCAAAGTAACATGGAATGCATATTCAAACCTGCCATCAGAGAGTTTTCTTCCTGCTTTTTATAAAAGACCAAGAAGGATTTTAAACTACAATTATACTCCTTTCACAGATTAATTTAAATGCATGGGAATAGGAAATTGAAAAGTTAAGAAACACTGCATGCCACTATTTAAAACTTTGTCCATTAGCTGTTGCAGAAACATTAATAATTGTATAGAACGTACATAATATTTTTCATATTTAACAATCCAAAAACTATGTCACTAGACTTCCACCCTCTTAAGCAAGAAGAGTTTAATATTTAAAAATAAGATCATTAATTCTGAAGATAGTGGTCAGATTGCTGTATTAAAAAAAAACATCAAAATAATCTGTAACAGACTTACTATTTGAATCTTAAATATGCTAAGTATAATTTGACTAATAGAGTTATAAAAGCCATCATATTGCTTCTGGCAACAAATAAATAAAATACAATACCACTGACAGGAGAAACTATTAGCCTGTAATAACTCCTAAACATTTAGAGAATAGAATGTTGGAAATCATGAACTACTGTAAGAAATAATAATTGCCAACATGTAATACAAATATGCAAAGAAAAACAATCTCCTGTAGAAGCAGGTGAGAGACAGTGTAAGCAACAGGCACAAAGTATTAGCAGAGATGAGCAGCTTGCTATGCCACACCTCAGACAGCCTGCAGGAAAAACAGGAAAGACTGAAGAACATCCAAAAACCTCAAGCCTGAAGTTAGACGCAAATAAGTAAACATTTTGTAAAGAGAACACAAGTGTAATTTATCTGCAGAATACTATACCGAATCTTGTACGCATACATTTATCTTTCTCTGTGAAGACTTCCATCTGTTCAATAGAACTACATACAGTAAATAAAGCCTTAGTAAAAGACCTTGAAGGAGTGAAACCTATAAAGCTATCAACAGAAGGGAAACAGAGTATTCTTTTTCCTGTTTTTACCAGATGTATATCAATAACTTTACTGTAGGTAGAACAGCAGATGTAGATCTTCAGGAAATTTACCTGTGAAAAGCATGAGAAGCTTTGTTTACCTCCAGGAGGCTACTTCATGTCTTTTCAATCCTGGCTTGCAGGTACACGGATTTTTTATTTTTTTTTCTCTAAACTGAACTTTATCATCTAAAAATCAATTTCAGACTCAAACTGTTAAGTCATTAAACAGGAAGCCTTCCTTCAGAGTTACTCTGTTACCTGTTACAGTCTAATTCCAAGCTTCAATAAAATGGCTTCATTGCTTAGAAAGTAACTGTAGCAAAATGGCATCATTCCTCAAAAGTATATGTAAGGCTTTAGATCCTATTAATTACTGTACGTACACTTGCAAAAGCCATTCACCCACATGGTGTCTTGATAGGTGGCTTTTTGTAGCTTCTTATTTTTTACTCTAACCAAAATGTAGTTACTAATTGTTAGGATGCAAGAAAGGATGTACAAAAATATGTTCACAGTAACAGACAGTCACTGAATCAGTTTACTCAGAAATTGTCTTCCCAACATAGTGCAAGTGGTAAGCTCAATCACAGAACCATAGACCTCACTTGGCTATGAGTCTTAACATTTAAATGTTGGTCATTCCTATTACTGCAAAATTTCTTTCCCCCTCCCCAGGCCAGAATCTGTTGTAAGGCAGGAACGCTCAGCTGACTATGTTTGGGACACTGCACAACGATAGCGCAGACTCCTGACTAATTTCAAAATTTTTGAGCCTTGTTATTGAAGAGCAACCTTTGGGAGAAGGTTAAATAATTTTGCTATACAGGAGGAAAACAGTTACATAGGAAGACAGCCTTTCAGGACTGAAACTGAGACCATACTGGATGCTAATAGAAGGAATAGTGCTATAACCAAGTAACTCCTACAGGGATATCCATTTCAATAAACCTGAAATCTGCTTGTCAACCCCTCTAGTATTAATAAAATTTCCAATGTTGCAGAAGAGCCCAACAGTACCATGGGAAGAGGTACTGCGATTCTGAAGTCAGGCTACCATTAGAGACAGAGTAATGTTTTACTATCCAGCACAGACTGGCCAACAGGCAGAGCAAACTTATGAGTGAGCTGGAAGGACGTCCTGTTGCATTCCCAAGCTGCAAACTTCTTTGGCTGCTTATTGTTCTTAACCTCCTCTGTGCACTTAGCACAATGACTGTCTTTAGCCTGGAGCTTAGCCTGACATCGGAGCAGTGGGACACACTTTCTTTAACTTCAGCAGGTTTTTCAGCTATGAAATAAATAGTTATCACTCAAGTCAGGAGGAGGGAAAAAGACAGAAATATGACAGGCAAGTAGTCTGTATTGTTAGCCAGTTTAAGAAGATAAATTTTCACATAGGAAATTCTGGAGGAGGAAAAAACCACAAAACAATTCTTACTCTGAATAGGACACCTTCCTGAAGTCCTTTCTTGGTGGTGTTCTCAAGAACTTCTGCTGGCAACTAACACTACTACTGTGGACCTGCTGGCTCATTCAGCCTTCACCTCTGAGTAGGAGATTGGCTGTCAACTTTAGAAATGCACCTCAATCAAAGGGAAGATTTAAAAACTCCATTTATCATTAAATCAACATGATACTAGTATTGGCTGTTGAGATTTTAAGAGTATTGATGGGGAGTGGCAAGGGAGCCTCATCTTTGAATTCCCTAAAGCCGAACAGCTTTCAGCAAATGCTGAGTACTCACCCTGAACAGCAGACTTTCTTAAAGAATATTCAAAAATTGAGATATCCAAAGTTGTTAAACATTTGAAAATCTTGGCCTGTGACTCTACTGCTGAAGCAATAGTTTGTGAAAATGCATCATAGGCTATTAAGATTTCTAATCAAAAGTTTTAAAAAATCCTATCCATCTGTCCATCTATCTTAAGGTGCATCTTTCTGTCACACTTATCTGATGACACAGATGCCATATTTACTAACAGGTTGGTCTTACAGAGAGTTCAAAATTTAGAAGAAGCGTCACATCTTAAAACTCATTAAAATTTACTTACATAAAGTTTCTCTAAAAAGCACTTGTCTTGTACATATACTTACATTTAAAAATACTTTATATGTATATGTACTATTACTTACTATATAAATAGTATATGTACTATACTAATAGTATATGTACTATTACTTACTATATAAATGTAACTCCTATATCAGAGGATGCAGAGATCAACATTCAGTGAAATCTACCTTTCAGAAAATTCTTTGTTATAAAATGGGTTTTACTGGTCAGTGAACCCTGTTCTTCACTGCTCACTGAGTGTGCTCCCAACCTGGTTAAAGGTTTGACACCTAGATTTCTCATACAGGTGAAACATTTAGGACAGTATCCCAATACGACAGATTACACTTATTTGTTTCTGGGCTTTTTTTCAGTTCATGCCAGCACAGTATTTTTTCGTACAAGTAAAAAAAAAAAAGGTCTGGTTCTGGTGCAATGACTAACAAGCATTATCTATTTTTCCATGTACTTTAGTGAAGACACAAGTCTTTATATCAGAATACAAAAACATTCCCATTATGGTATCCATAGTTGATTACTTAAGTAACTGTTTTCATACTTATGACAGCTCTGATTCTCTCGTTATCTTTTACAATAACTTATATGTATTTTGCAAATAACTGGTTTATCCAAGGTGCAGAAGTACATGTCTGCTTTGAAATAAAGAAAACATAACATGTTGTGCTTTGCATCTGTTTTCAACACTAGAAACTATACAGATCTAAGTAAAAGGTGGAATCTCTTTCCCCATCCAAACTTTAAGACCTTCTATCTGGGCCAGACTTTGATATTTGCCCCTTGGCTGGGAATCCGCATATCCAACTTCACACTTAGCTGCAGTGAAGTAGCCCTGCAGGCAGGCCAACTTCAACGAACCACTAGTGGTATCATCATTAAAATCCTGCTGAAGGTCACCATGGAAACCGCCTGCTGAGGCTTCGCTGCTGCACTCGGCATCTCCTAATCAGCTACCATGTGAAATGCAAATTCAGACAGTCTGAAAATTAGTCAAGAAGAATAGAGGATGAGGATGCAGATATGTGAAATATTCATGCGCTTCATGGAAAAAGGAAGACAGCATGAATGACACAACAAAGAACGGCCCCTGACATTCTTGCTATCATTTTGCATTATTGTTCACACCCTACCGTATTTCTAGGCCTCCAGTTCTGAAGTTGGTTATATGAACTGCCATATTTATAGTCTACAATAAATAATAATTAAAAATGGCCAAGATAAAATGACTAATTGGAAAACCCACGAAAAAGCATAGTATATAAACTGCACAACTGATCATTATTTCATCCTTTGTAACATCACTGAATTATCTTTTCAAGTCCAGATTGTTTCATAAAAGGGGAAAAATTGTCATTATAAACACAAAACAAAATACTGGGCAGCAATCTTTTATTAGTAGTCCAATCACTGTCTTTGAACGCAAAAAAACTTCAGGTTCAGAATTACAACTCCTACTCTATAAATGAAATTGCACAACACTATGTTTATTAAAAGTATTTCAGTGCTTGTGTTTATTTGTGTTTTCAATCTTTAATTCATGTATGCTGAATTCAATTAGAATTGGTTACTAATACGTGTTCTTTCGTTTACAGCTTCTATCAGTATGCACTGTTCTTTTCAAAGTGGGAAAGTATTTCAAAACTAGCATCTCAGAACATTCACAAGCAAGCATTTATATTTTTTCATTCAGTTACACTAAGAAAAATATTTATTCAGTTTCTTTTCATTTTAGAGCTTAAGAAAGCAAGAACCCCTCCTTAATGAATTAAAATGACAGTAAGGAACGGGTTACCTATCAGCTTAAAACAAATACTGCTGTGATATGCATGAGTATATTGTTCAAATTCAATTATATTATGTCTGCCTATATTTCTCTGAAATTTACTGTTAGTGTTGCCAAGAACCACTCTTTCTTGCAAGAGAACTGCCGTTCAATTGTATTGAACAGCACATCATAGTTTTACAATGCAGTCAAATGGGAACAAAACAATTCATTTTTACTAGTGAGTTACATTATATCTAGTTTAATGCAAGCCCCTTGAGAAACAAGACTAGTGCACTAATTTACTGTATAACATAAACTTGTTTAGTTGTGCTTTTAGAAAAGCATACTATAGATGTATGACTCAATCCCATTCTGGCATGTAGAACATATCATTGTGCATTCTGGGAAAGCATTTTGTCATACTTGAAAGCAAGCTCAATGAAATTAAGAATCTTAAGAGTATGAGGTTTCCATCATTAATCCACCCCAATTTAAAATCATATCAGAGACTTGTTTTGACAGGAACATTTGAGCAGGTTCAACAAGCAAACATTTATGGGCATAATCTGCAAATAACATAATCACACAAGTTCATTTACTTCCCTGAAAGTGTGCCAGCTTTACACAAACTGAGGATCTAGCCCATGAAAAGGAAAATTACTTACTTCCTCTGAATAGTGATCTGAAGGGAGAGGTGGGTAGTCACACTGTTCTATCTTCTTACATAGGGAGTACAAGTTCATTTTATCACCATAAAAGGGACTCTGCAGTGCAGCCATCTGTTTAAAGAAAATGTAGTTTTCTTTTGTGTTTTTAAGTAAACTTGTTTCATCATAAAATCTGTAATACTAACAAATCAAACATGATTTATAACAACTTCTGATTTCCTGCTTATAAGTATCACAGTGCTAAAAAGTGAAGTTCCAAAACTGTTACTCTAACCAGAGTGTGTACTTATTCTATGTTCTAAAGTCGTACCTGTCATACTGCAATATAAGGATTGAATTGTATACCATTAAGAGTTTTATTAATCAAGTATGAGGAAAAAATTAATAGTTTCTCATACTGACGTTTAGTGCAGAGGGTCCTTGCACCACAAGGAAAACTCAAAACCCACAACGTAATTTTCCTCTGAAGACCTTCTGAAAGAAAACATGTCATTTATCTGAAAACATAACCTGATCTAAAGCAATATTGTATGCTGAAAATGGTGGATATCAGTAGTAGGTTTTGTAACCTTCCATAGCTATTACACTAGACTGATACAGCTGCTTTTTTTTAAAATCAAGACAACTAAAGTTAACATCTATACTTCCAAAAAAACCCAAACACAGAAACTTTGTAATTCAGTATGTTATCCAAAAATACTTCTAAAAACAAGTATCACAAATGTCATCGGAAGTGTAGAACTGGCACCCATTACAGACTCCAATTTACAATTGTAATACAAAAATAAGAATATTAGAGAGCACTTATATAAATGATCAGCTTAAAATCAGCATTAGTAAACCTACGCTTTATTTCCAGACTGTTACAACTTGACATTTAAGGTGGAAACAAATGCTATGGTTAGCAGGATTACAAATTTAAAAATTCATTTAAAATCTCTCCACTCTGTTCAAAGCCTTCTAAGTCTTTGAACCGCAGCAGCACGAATGCTGCTTTGAGTGCAGCGCTGCCCCAAAGTCAGTCACCCTTTTCTACATGTGCTAATAAGTTTGATTTTGGAAGGACAATGTGTACATTCCCCAGACAGGCAGAGTGTGTGTGAAACACGCTAGTCCATGCTGTGCTACTCAGTGAGCTTCAGCAGGGACAGGACAAGCTGAAAATGGCTCTCATCTGTCTTGTGGTCTTCCAGATAGCAGTTTAACTCTTTCATGACTAAGCAACGATATTGCTGGGGGAAAAAATGCATGAAGAAAATTACTAAAATTCTCTTACATTTACCTTCTATATGATAAAAATGATCTCTCATAGTTCAGTACTTTTTCATATTACCTTCAAGTAATAATAAATCATTTTAAAGCTCCCAAAACAAATACCATACTACAGTTCTAACCTATAGTCCTCCCCAAAATTCTTTTACTATATTACCAAAATAATGTTTATTTTTGGATTTGCATGACATTGTCTCTTACCTTAAAAAGAATGTTAAAAATGCAAGATAAAGACCAAAACCAAAACAAAACAAACAAACAAAAAAATCAACTGCAGGGTCTCTACGCATGCAGAAATTCTAAATAAATGCACAGATACTTATTTTCGTACTCTAGGTGTTCATTAAAAAGTACTTTTGTTTGAACGCTGCGGAGTGTTAAAAAAATTCTGAATGTCCCCTAAGGAGTTAAAACAGGAATACTATATTTTCATGCATCTCCTGCTTTGACAGATGAAAAATGTCAACTGTCCTGTTTTTATTTTCAAGCTTTTGCACTATTCATCTGGTTCATTAGTGCATCTCGCTGCTGCCCCTGACAGCTGCTCGCCCTCTCCTCCCAGCAGCTGAATTTTTCAGGCTAATTTGATCCTCCACACTGAGACGATCGCTAGAATGATTGACTTGCTCCCTGACCTCCAGGGTCTGACTTTCCTGATTAGTATTCTGGGGGTGTCTGAGGGACGAAAGCCCACTGTCTGTCTTCAGGGCTGGTGGCAGCTCTCTCTCTTTTTTTTTTTTTTTTTTTTTTTTTTTTTTTTTTTTTTTTCTACAACCCTGTAAGGATGCAATTGCTACGCTGAACAATAAAAGGAAATGTGTAAGACCTACTTTTCCATGTAAAGGTCCATGTAGCAAAAGCACAGCATCTTGATTTTAATTAGTAAAGTCTACTTTGTTGCATATCAATTAAAACTCCAGTGGTAGTGTTTTTGAGGTTACAGAAATACCGGGGGCTCTAAAAAAAAAATCAGACTTTAAAATATACATTTAAAAATCTTGTGGGTCACACAGTTGGCATTGAGTAATAGACTGTAATATACGTTAAAAAAAGTAATTTTTAAAAACATACAACACAACAAATTAGCCTAAACTTAAAATTAAAAATGACTGAAAAGACTTTAGCAGCAATTAGGCATTTATTGAGAAGTGATACACATGCCACAGATTTTCTCCAATTAAACTGGAGAGAATCCAGATCACATATGAGCACATATCAACATGAAATCAATATAATAAAACATGCTAAAATGCATGCAATAGATATATCACAAAAAGACACCCAGCACAAAACTGCACGGATAATAAAAATACCATGCATTAGTCCACATGTCTTGAAGGGGCTTAAGTAACCACTTTCAAGTAATTGAAAAAGAGAAAAATGCTAAGCATGTATTTTGAGTTCACTATACCTAAAAATTTCAAAATTACATCTCAATGATCAACAACAAAACACACCCCTTTCCCCCAACCCCCAAACCCACCCACACAAAAGGAATAAAACACCACAAACATCTGGTATGTTGTAGAATTAACTAAATGGGATAAATGCACCTCTAAAGAAGGTAAAAGCTATAGTTGAAGACATGGCCATATACTATAGCTATATATTATATATCAACAATAAGTATCCTAATAATTACTCTTACAATAAGATAAAAAAAACAAACACAACAGCATATCAACTTAAATACCACCCTGGTAAAACTTCTAAAACAAAATTTAAAAGAATGGTTTTAAAAGATGCTAAATTAATCAATGGAATTAAGATATTTAGTTATTTTGAAATTATATACCCACTCAAAAAATTAATATTCACATAGGTATTTAATATGCTGTACCAGCATCAAAACAGCAAACTCAAAAATCTTCTTTAGAAAAGTGCTATTGATTTCTATCCAGCAATTTTATTTCATAAAATATAGAAAAAAAATTTCCTTATATATAATAATTAGTTATTCAAGGGGCTTATTTGTTTGTTTCCAGATTTTAAAAATTTTTAAGGAAATCAATAAGGGGAAAAGAAGCAGTAGTACTGAAAAATTCTCATCTACCTGTATGCTATCTTTAGGCTCCTTCTTGCATAAGTGTGTAAAGCAGAGCATTGAAATTGATGGCAGTTGCCATTGTCAGTACTCAGGAATCTGAATATGAGATTAAGTTTCAGTTCAGGATTTAATTTTCTAAGTACTTGCTATCAGGTATCAGACTTCATTCCTGTGAATTGCCCCAAGATTTAGAAACAACAGCTATACACAGATCTGTAAACTCTGCAGAAGTGAAATATAGGTATTTGCCCTTTTAATATTAATGTAACACGATAGGGATAGAAAGTAAACTAATATTACTAGAGACAATTCACCCTGTAATAACTTATAACTTTAGGAGGCTGACAATGCTTTCTACAAAATCCTAAAATAACAGGAGGTGCCAATCCTGCTGAGTATGTGTTAAATGAGTTCTGCTGACTCACTGATGCTGGTGGCTTGCAGGTAAGTGAAAACTGAGTTGGGTATACTAGTTTTTATCTTGAATATATCTATAAAGACTTCACTGCCATTGCTGATGGAACTAAATTTTTTTCCAGCATCCTTCAACACAAGCATTTAGCCTTTTGATCAACAAATGATATGCAAAGAACTCTGAAGACATAGTTGCCTTAGAAACCTACCTGTTCTTCACACCTTCATTCGCCTCAACTGCAATCTGCCCTGTATCTTTATTTTCTCAGAATATCACTAAAATTATGTGTCAGGCTACCAATCCTGACTATAACAATACCAAAATTAACCAATAACTATAGTTTAATCAATTGGAGGAGAAGAAAGAGTAGAAAAATTACATATGTTAGTGTAGCACAAGTCATTATCTTAAAATTCAATTCAAGCTAGTGGTAAAAAATGACATGTCATTTTTCTTTATTGTTTTATTTAGGTTTTAAATAACTTTAAAGAAATTAAACCCGTATTAAAATAATTATATTGCTGGTTTTTAAAGCATTAGTTCCATACTCAAGTCAGTCCTACTATTTCTCAATATATTTATTACCAAAATCACAGAATCAGCATAGGCCATTAAAACACCTAGAACTATTTTACATGTGCTTGCTATTATTCATTTATTAATCCTTCAGTTATGACCAATCTTCAATAAATTGCTATCTTTGTAGAAAACCCAGTAAAAACCAAGTCTTGAGTGACACACAAATAAAAGTATTTCATATGCTGAAGTTACATAAGACTTCCCATTGCTAATATTGAAGACAGACATATCTGAAAAGTAACTTTTCCACACTGCTATATACTTGTTTTATAAAACAAAAAAAAATATATAGAAATAGATCCTAAAACAGTACTTAATACATGGGGGGGGG